AGAAAAAGAAAACAAACCAACAAATCAAAACAGAATAAATCAGAGCAAACAAACAAACAAAAAAGCCCCGGGGTCCTACCAGCATGGCAGCACGGCCCGGAAGCAGTTTCACAGTCAAGCGGTGTTTTGTTGCAGCCTTTCAGGAAGAAGCAAAGATGGCGCATGGAGCCAGGTATTTGAGAGAAAGGAGGGGGAGGTGGTGAGAGGTAAGGAAGTAATCTAAAGAAGCTTAAAAGAAGCCAATGAAAGGCACTCGGAGCTGGCCAGTGTGGGCTGGTGGAATCCAAGTGACACTGGGGTGCTTTCCGGCCAAGAGACCATGGCTGCAGGAAGCAGAGGAGGCTAAGTGGGGGTGAAGAAGGGTCGGGGGTGGGAAAGCCTATATCGATGGTTACTGGTTGTTTTGTCTCCTGCTGGAAGCTCCGTGAAGCTGCTTTCTCATACCCCCTGTTCGTTGATCTCCGGTAGGTGTTCAGAATGGTGGATCCATGCTGTGGCAGCTGATAGAGGACCTCTGCATGTATCTCTCCTCGTTCTCTGTCAGTTTCTTATTCCATTCGGTGCTTGGCTGAGTTCTTTCTCTCTTCATTTGATGCGTAGGGTTTCAGGATTGATGTGTGACTGTGTTTGACTTAGTTTTTCTGATCTTTCCTGTGGAAGGATGGCGTGGTGCTTCTGACTATAGCGCCACGTTGCCTGGAAGTGTGTCTTATTTTTATTTTATTAAAAAATCTTTGTATGTTTTACTCTTATCAAACTGAGGATGTTGAGTGTAACCTAAAGCTTTTTTTGATTATGCAAAAATATGAAGGTATTATACTGTATGCAACACAATTCTGAGTCTGATTTTTAGTTTTTCTGCTTGTTCTTAGCGTTGTCATTGTGCCAGCCCATCACCCTCCTTCCTAACATTCTGGGAAGACAGATAACCAAGTCTCTTAAGAAGTATATGCTAGAAAGAGAAAGTAAGATTGCAGTGAGAGTCTACATGCCTTTCCTATGGAGCAAGTACATAGTTTTAATGCCAAGGCTCTGCGGCAGGCATTTTAGGTATTCTGGGCCCGAAGCTATGTGCAAGGTTAAGTTGCCAGGATGTTTGACCATCAGATAAGTGGGGAGTTACTGTACCTAACTGAGGATTCTTGCCACTGTGGGAAGTATTAAGGGAAGAGAGAGAGGGACATAAGCTGTAGTAGAATACTTTATAAACTAATAATGCATTATATTGCACTTACCCTTTATCATCAACTTCTTTCATGTATTGAGTACTTTCTCTGTACTAATGTTATGAGGTCGGTGGTTCAAACTCACCAGCTACTCCACGGGAAAAGATGTGGCAGTCTGCTCTGGTAAAGATTACAGCATTGGAAACCCTATGGGGCAGTTCTACTCTTCTGTCCTGTCGGGTCGCTATGAGTCAGAATTGACTCATCAGCAAGGAGTTCGGTTTTTTGGTTTATGGTCACATACCTAGTAAGTGGTGGAGCTAGGATTTGACCCCACCTCTATTTAATTCTAAACCCCATGCTCCAAACTATCTTGTTAAACTGAAAATTGAATTCAGAAAGGATTGCTATCAGCTCTGTTCTGCATCTAGAACATGGGGACTGTACATATATACTAACAAAATTCTTCTATAACAACACAATTTAGGTGTCCCATAGAGCTTATAATATTAACTTGTTTATCAGGATTAATACAAAGTGTTTTAGAGTTAAAACTCTTTGACACAGAGTTGCTCCAACAATGTACTATTGTCCTTTAATTAAGTTATACTCAGTAACATAAATTACATAGTATAATGCCTGGGCTCAGTAAATGGCAGCCATGGCTATTAATTTTGTACAGCCAGTTGATTGAATTAGCTGTATCAATAACTTGAAGTGAAAAAAAAAATGCAACGAAATCTCTTAGTTTGGTTGTCATTAATTTTCAATTTATGATCATTTGGACAAGGACTAGAGTTTACATTTCTGCCGTCTATGAAGAAAGGGCTTCGTAAGCAGTTTTGCAGGAGGAAAATTAAAAGCTTTTTAAGAAAGCAGACTGTTTTCAAACACCCTTGAACGCATTGGTATTTCAAAACATTTTCCCCAAGAGAGTTTCCCCGAATTAACTAATTGGACCACTTAATGTAGTTCTTAAAAATAGTTTTTTCAATACTTAATAATACTACAGTTTTGCAGTTTTATTATTTTTATTCACTCAGTCTGAAATAATGTGGTAAATTTGCTTCATGTGAGGAATTACAACAATGCTAAATCAATAGGCTTCATCAGAAAAAGTACTTAGCAGAGTTCTTTTACTGTTTCTTAAAATTTAATTAACGCTTTTTAAACTGTACTCTAAATCCACTACTGAAAATCAGTCATCAAGGAATAACACCCTGTGTATTAGAGTGTAGTGCTAGAACTGTGAAAATCACATCATTTGCGAGAATCATGAAATTTGAGTTCAGTGTTAACTCCATCTGTTTCTACATTGGTAAAATTGAGAAATCTGTCCTGTGTATTCATAACATTATTGTGATAATCAAATGAGAAAATGTACTTGAAAACACTTTGGAAAGTATTTAAAGTGCTATGTAGTAAGATGGTATTTTATTACTTGGTTAAGAGAGCTTTCTTTCTAAGACGACCATGTTTTTATGCAAGTAACATGAGTCTTATTTATGTTTGTTTGCCAACTGCTCTCTCCCCCTGCGAAGTACTTTCATCATAAGCACAGCTGTGCCCATTTTTTTTTACATGTTGCTGTAAAAAAGATATGCATATTGCGCTTAGGAAAATACCTTATGGGGATGAGCAGTTGGCAAACAAATGTAGAAGGCATACATTGTTTACATAAAAATACGGTATGTCATTATTATACCTGTTGCGGTTGAGTCGATTCCAACTCATAGTGACCCTGTGGGACAGATAGAGCTGCCCCATAGGGTTTCCAAGGAGCGGCTAGTGGATTCGAACTGCCGACCTTCTGGTTAGCAGACAAATGCTTTAACCATTGCACCACGAGGGCCCCTGTGATTGTTGTAGGTCATACGTAATGTTGAATGAGTTCTCACAAATACCCAATTCTAAAAGATAGTACAAAAAAAAAAATATGTTTCAGTAAATTACTTGGTCTTTTGGAAATATATAATAATTTTGGTATTTATTTGGATATTTGTACATTTCTCTTATTTTAGCAAATATGCATTATTCTTATTGGCATTTGAAGTTCCTAAAATTAATTCCTTTGATTTTCCTTTGAATCTTATTTCCTAATGCTAATGTTTCTTACTAGTCTTACTCTATAAAATAGTATATTCATATCCAATAACTTTAACAGATACAGAGAATACAGAGAAATTCTCAAAGTCTGACAGAATTGAATTTTGAACTATGAGTTATATTCTAACTAACTTGACCAAAAAGAAAATTTACTAGGGCTATGAACTAGTGGAAAGAACACAGGACTGAGGTAGCCCTAGGTTTGAATGCCAGCACTCCGGTTTGTTTAAATATATGACCTTGAGCCAATCCCTTTATCTTCCAAGCCTCACTTTCCTTGTCTGTAAAATGGGGATAATACATATTTACACAATTGGAATGAAGATTAAATTAAGACATGGCACACGTAGCATAGTGTTTGACGCATAACAGTTACTTAATACAAGTTTGTTTTCCTTTCTTTTTTTAATCCCTTCCTCACTCTTAGGGGAATTTTGAGAGCTCTACTGGGCTAATTCATTGCCTAATGAGGAGGAACGAATGAACTGTACTTCCATAGTTCCAGAGAGGAAAATTTTATTTTCTTAGTATTGAATGCCAAAACCAACTCAGTTGCTGGTTGATTTTCAGAAGTTGTCTCTAATTTAGGGAGCCCGTTGGCACAGTCCTAAAGCTCTTGGCTGCTAACTGCAGTTCAAACCCACCAGCCTGAGGGAGAAAGATGTAGCAGTCTGCCTCCATAAAGATTTACAGCCTTGGAAACCCACTGTGGCAGTTCTGCTCTGTTCTTTAGGGTCACTATGAGTTGAGATAGACTCGATGGCAGTGGGTTTCTTTTTTTTTTTGTGGGAGGGCTCTCTGTTTTACCAGTTCTCACAGAGATTCTGCTATACAGCATTGACTTCCTGACAGCAGACTTTGACAAATATTCTCAAAAACAATTTCTTTTTGCTTATAAAAATACATGCTAATGGCCTGTTATATGTAGATTCTCTAGAGTTTGAGAATAGAACAACCAAATTAGTATTAGGCACAAAAATGAAATCTTCCATCGCATTCCTTAAATAGCATTCAAAGCAGAGAAAAATTTTAGGTGCTGTACCATCTTTGGAAAGTGTTTAAGATTGCCACAGATTTTACATGAATCTTTCATATCATTTGCCTCACATTTGATTCTTATTTTGTGCTGTTTATAGATGTAAACAAGAGAAGTATATTAGGAAAATGTTTAATATGCAACATGTTTTAAAATATATGGAAGAAACTCTCTTTTTAACTTGTACCTGCGACATGATTTTAATACAAATGAACAGAAAACATCAGGTAATAATAATCATCAACCAGTGCCAGGTATCAGTACCAGGAAATAATAGTCATTAACATCAACTGCTATAGTACCGAAACCAAACCCGTTGCTGTAGAGTGGATTCTGACTCCTAGTGACCCTATAGGACAGAGGAGAACTGCCCCATAGGGTTTCCAAAGAGTGGCTGGTGGATTCGAACTGCCGACCTTTTGGTTAGCAGCTAAACGCTGAACCCTTGTGCCACCAGGGTACAGTGGCCCTCATTTCTAGCCTGTTGGTTACAGTACCACCCCTTCAACCCTACAAACGCTGCCATTAGGATAATTGTGTGTTTTCCCATTCTGAAGTAGCCCACCTAGTATTTTTGCATTTTGACTATAAACTTTAAGTTGAATGTAGTTAGATTTATGTCACTAAGCTTTTTAAAGTTATTATTATTATTTCTTTTAATGCTGTCAACTAAAGTTTTACCTTGTTACCAGTTTCAGAAGAAGACATTGTTGAAACTCCTGCTGTGTCCCATGATGAACACACACACCAAGAGATAAAAGGCCAAAAAACACTGGCAACTCCTGCAGTTCGCCGCCTAGCGATGGAAAACAATGTAAATTTCCTTAATATTTTAAGTGTGGGATGGCATCTGAAGTATGCATTTGTGTCTCTGAAAAATTAGCCAGTTATCCCATGATGAAATGGCTCAAGTTGTGACTAAAGGAAACCTGAAAATATCCGTTACTGAAAAGTGATAATTGCGTAGAACTATTCATGAGAAATAAAAAGAAATTGTGACTTTATTACTTAAAATAATCGAGCAGTGTGGTTTTATTATTCTATCTTACAGCCTAATAGTAGTAAGAGCTACCATTTATTGAGCACTGGTATATACTAGTGTCTGAGGTGCTCTAGAAGCAGAGCTTGAGACAGGAATTTGGATACAGGTGATTGATTTATTGAGGAAGTGAAAACTTACTAAGGGAGTGAGGGAAGTAGGCTAGGGAAGGGAAGAGGAGAGGGCAGGGCAGGGCAAGCATGTGGTTTTAAGGATTTTATCTGATCGAAGGGGAATGGGAATGGGGAGCCACAGAATGTACTGCCTTGAGGCAAGGTTGCTGTTCTTTTGTATGCCTCTCCCAGTTAGTCATTGGCTGATGGGGGTGAGGTGCACAGCCTCCCCGGTGAGTTGGCTTCCTGGCTCTTGTGTAAATATTTACATGTTATCTCATTTATTATCTCATTTAATCTTCACTACAGCCTGTGAGATAAGGAGTTACTGTTAGCCTTTGGTTGATGAGGAAACTGAGACTTAAGGAGGTTAAGTAAGGGATCCAAGTTCACACAGCTAATAAGTGGTGGAGTCAGGATTCTAAAGAGGGTCTATGTCATTCCAAAACTGGTGCTCTTAATCATGATATACTGCCTCAACAATCATGATCTCCATTATTTGAGTACTTTTATGCTAGATACTGTACATGTGTTATCTCTAATCCTTGCAGTAACACTGCAGAGTGGTTTGTATTATGCCCATTTTACAGATGAAAAAGGGCAGGGAGGTTGATAACTTGCCTAAAATCAAGTAAGTAGCTGAACTGGGGATTTGAACCATGTTTGTCTGGCTCCAAAGCCTGAGTTTTTTCTGCTGTGCCCCATAATGTATGTATTTTTTTGTCTGTTTTGGGGAAGTTAAGTTACAGCAGAAAATAATCAAAAGATTACATTTTGGAAATATGTAATAATAGCCATTGAAATGTTCATATCCCTCAGCCAGTTATCCTACCACTGGGGAACAATCCAAAGGAAATAACCTCGGATACATTCTTTCCTGTGTTTTATAGAGCCAGAAATTAGAAGGAGTATTAATGTTCAAAATCAGGGAAGTGCTTAGGTAGATTGTTATAAACCATTATGAAAATTTATGTAGCCATTAAATGTGTTCAGATGTGAAGATCATTTAGCATAATAGAAAATAAGAATAATAATATGGAACATTAAGTTGTTAAGGGCATTGGATGAAATAATTATTTCATATATTGGTTTGAAAGCTATAAAACATTTATCATTATTATTATTTTTAATTATATAAAATGCTACCTGTAGAAATATTTGATTTGGCTTTTTTCTACCACTTCCTGAAGATGTCTGTAATAACTAGAGGTTTGTATAATTGCTAGAAGTGAAGTAGTAGATTTTATTACCATACATCACTTTTTATTTTTTCTTTTCTTGCAGCTTAGTTTATGAATTCAGTTTAAAATTAAAAGACAGTGGCAATTACAGTTATTTGTAATTACCTAAAAATGATTTGTTTAAATTCTTAGAGTTCATTTAAATTATAAACTCAGTGTTTGATATGATAAAGTTCTTTATTCTGAAGTCATCCTTTGAAAAGCACTAATAACACCAATTTCTTAACTCTAAGAAATTAATTAATGCACACAATATGTCAGGATATCATCCAAGCTTATGTGTTTATTTTTATTTAGTTAGAAATAAATTTTAGTAAGAATATTTTACCTCTGTAACCAAACATAGAAAGTGATTGAATAAACCAAGATTACATATTTTTCAAAAAAATATCATGAGTGGTTAGTTTAGAATGAATTATATCACCTGTTGTTTAATATGGAGCCCTGGTGGCATAGTAGTTAAGAGCTGTGGTGAGCCATGGCTGCTAACCAAAATTTCTGCAGTTCAAATCCACCAGCTGCTCCTTGGAAACCCTATGGGGGCAGTTCTACTCTACCCTATAGGGGCGCTATGAGTCGGAATCGACTCTATGGCAACGGGTTTGTTTTGTTTTTGTTTTATTGTTTGTTATATAGAAAGTAGTAATAGAACTGCTTGAGATGAGAAACTCATGTTCCAAATATGCCTCAGTAAGATTGGTTTTGAGGTTTTGTATTAATCTTTCCTAATAGCCATCTGAAAAAAAGTCATTTGAGAGAACTTTTGTATATCGATTAACTATTATAGGTTTAACTGGTAGCCAAGGTCAGAAACATTGATTTTTATTATAGTGTTTAACTTGTTTTTTTAAACTCTTGTCTCTCTTATTATATAGTCTCCAAGAATAGAAAATATCAAGTAAGAATTTTGCAAGAGATTTAAAAATAGCTGACTGTTTAAAAATGTAAGTTTTTATAAATAGCTATGGCTTATATGTAATGTGGAGCCCTGGTGGCATAGTGGTTAAGCGTTCTGCTGGGTGTAGTGGTTAAGCGTTTGGCTGCTAACCAAACGGTCAGCAGTTCAAATCTACCAGCTGCTCCTTGGAAACCCTATGGAGCAGTTCTACTCTGTCCTATAGGGTCGCTATGAGTCAGAGTCGACTTGACGGCAGTGGGTTTAGTTTTTTGAAGAGGGTTTGTATATAACATAGATACTATAAAGTTACCACATGGGTAAGGGGACAGTGTGTACAAAAGTGATAAACGATTACTTATAAAGGGTAGCTGTAGCTTATAGCTGTATTATTTCTTTGTACCAATTTTTTAAGCAGAGATAGATTTTAACTTCAATTGATTAAATTCCATTTTGAAACTTTAATGACGTATTTATTTTTAAATAGTTTTATTTCTAACATTGGAATGTATCTTTTTTTAGATTAAGTTGAGTGAAGTTGTTGGCTCAGGAAAAGATGGCAGAATACTCAAAGAAGACATTCTCAACTATTTGGCAAAGCAGACAGGAGCTATATTACCTCCTTCACCAAAAGCTGAAATCATGCTGCCTCCACCAAAACCAAAAGACAGGACTATTCCTATACCAATATCAAAACCTCCAGTATTCACAGGCAAAGACAGAACAGAACCCCTAAAAGGTAGTAATAATACTAACAGTAATGTAAAGCAATAATATGTTTATTTTGGGGGAAGCTAGTTCAAGAGATCCATGTATATAATATAGTGTTTTCAGTTCTTACTGAGGGAGAATTCAGATTCAGCATATAACTATTAAAAAAAAAAAAAAAGTGAAATAGCAGCTCTTCAAGGAAAGCTTCAATTTATGCTGTTAATTTCTGAGGAGTAATACTACTGCAGGTTGCTTGGAATATAAACTTGTACGTGGATAATTGTTCTGTTTGCAAGCTCACACAGGATATTTTAAACATTATTTTTAGTTAGCTTTCTAAATAACTAGTTCTGATTTGTTATTTATAAACTCTTAGGATGATTACCTTCCAGGAGAGTGGATTTCCAAGAAAGCCATTCAGTAAATACATGGCTTGTATCCTTGGAAATTTTTGTACACCACACCATTTAAAGGAGTTACTTATCATGGTTGCCATAGGATGGCAGTGCTTCTGAAATGAGTGGCTTTCAAGTTATGTAATGTAACGAAGATGGTAGGTCCAGGAGGAAGAGTTTAGTTGAGAAAGTAAACATGAGAACCAAAAAAAACCCAAACTAGTTGCCCTTCCGTTGAGTGTGACTCATGGTGACCCATGTGTTGCAGAGTAGAAGTGAGCTCCACAGAATTGTCAAGGCTGTCACCTTGTGGAAGCAGGTGTTTTTTTTCCCAAAGCATGTCTGGGTGGATTCCAACCACTAACCTTTTGGTTAATAGTCCAGCGCTTAACCCTTTGTGCCACCCAGGAGCCCCTAAACAACATTAGAGAATCTCCTATTTTAGTAAAAAAGGATTTTGTTAAAAATTTAAAAACAAAGGATTGAATGTTTTCCAGGCTTTCAGAAAGCAATGGTCAAAACCATGACTGCAGCCCTGAAGATTCCTCACTTTGGGTATTGTGATGAGGTTGACCTTACTGAGCTGATTAAGTTTCGTGAAGAATTAAAACCCATTGCTTTTGCTCGTGGAATTAAACTCTCCTTTATGCCCTTCTTTTTAAAGGTGAGATTTCATTCATTTCAAACAAAGCTTAAGTAGAACATTTAAATTTTGTTTTGCAAATATGCAACATGTTAACTGTGAGTTTGAATACAATATTACTTCTCACCATATCATTAGTTAGAAAAATGTGCTAACACTGTTCTCTTATTTCATAGGAATTTATAAATTGAAGTTTTTGGGTCATATTTTTGTTTACTTACCTTCTTGAGCTGGGTAGAGATTATTACATGAAGTTAGGCAAAGCCTTCTTTAATTCTGAAAGGACCACTTTAGCAAAGCACTGATTTAAACTAAATGGGAGTTGGTATTTATCTTGCATATCAAACACTGAAATGTATTTATTTTCATTTATTCAACAAACTTGTATTGAGGCTCCTGGGAATCATTTCTAGTGCTAGACCTTGGAACTAGTATAAAATGGAATAAGACATGTCACTCAACCATGAGCCGCTCACAGTCTAGCTCACATTAATGGTCATTTTATGAAGCAGCTACCATGTACCAGGCCATATACTAAACATGCTATATACATTATCTCTTAATTCTTGGTATAACCCTAACAATATAAATAAGTAGCCCTAGGAAGAGGTCCAAGCTGCACCGAAGGCATTGGTGAAGAACAAGGCTCCAGGAATTGATGGAATAAAAATCGAGATGTTTCAACAAACAGATGCAGCTCTGGAAGTGCTCACTCATCTGTGCCAAGAAATTTGGAAGACAGCTACCTGGCCAACCAACTGGAAGAGATCCATATTTATGCCTATTCTCAAGAAAAGTGATCCAAACGAATGTGGAAATTATTGAACAATATCATTAATATACACAAGTAAAATTTTGCTGAAGATCATTCAAAACCAGCTGCAGCAGTATATTGACAAGGAACTGCCGGAAATTCAAGCCGAATTCAGAAGAGGACTTAGAACCACGGATATCATTGCTGATGTCAGATGGATCCTAGCTGAAAGCAGAGAATACCGGAAAGATGTTTACCTGTGTTTTTTAATGACTATGCAAAGGCATTTGACTGTGTGGATCATAACAAGTTATGGATAACATTGTGAAGAATGAGAATTCCAGAACACTTAATTGTGCTCATGAGGAACCTGTACATAGATCAAGAGGCAGTCATTCCAACAGAACACGGGGATAACTGCATGGTTTAAAGTGAGGAAAGGTGTGCGTTGGGGTTATATCCTCTCAACATATTTATTCAATCTGTATACTGAGCAAACAATCCCAGAAGCTGGACTGTATTAAGAATGGGGCATCAGGATTTGAGGAACACTCATTAACAGCTTGTGTTATTCAGATGACACAACCTTGCTTGCTGAAAGTGAAGAGGACTTGAAGCACTTACTGATGAAGATCAAAGACTATAGCCTTCAGTATGGATTACACCTCAGCATAAAATAAAAATCCTCACAACTGGACCAATAAGCAACATCATGATAAATAGAGAAAAGATTGAAGTTGTCAAAGATTTCATTTTACTCGGATCCACAATAAGCACTCATGGAAGCAGCAGTCAAGAAATCAAAAGATGCATTGCATTGGGCAAATCTGCTGCAAAAGACCTCTTTAAATTGTTGAAAAGCAAAGATGTTACCTTGAAGACTCAGGTGCACCAGACCTAAGCCATGGTGGTTTTTTTTAAAAATTTTGCTTAAAATGAAAGTTTACAGTTCAAGTTAGTTTCTCATACGAAACTTTATACACACACTGCTATGTGACCCTAGTTGCACTCCCCATTCTGTGACAGCACACTTCCCCTTTCCACCCCAGATTTCCGTGTCCATTCAACCAGCTTCTGTCCCTTTCTGCCTTCACATCTCGCTTCTGGACAGGAGCTGCCTATTTAGACTCATGTATCTACTTAAGCTAAGAAACACACTCTTCATAAGTATCATTTTATGTTTTATAGTCCACCCTAATCTGTCTGAAGAGTTGGCTTCAGGAATGGTTTTAGTTTTGGGCTAACAGAGAGTCTTGAGTCCATGTCTTCCTGGGGTCCCTCCAGTCTCAGTCAGACTATTAAGTCTGGTCTTTTTACTAGAATTTGAGTTCTGCACCCTTCTTTTCTCCTGCTCTGTCAGGGACTCTATGTTGTATTCCCTGTTAGGGCAGTCATTGGTGGTAGCCAGGCATCATCTAGTTTTTCTGGTCTTAGGCTGATGGAGTCTCTGGTTTATGTGGCCCTTTTGTCTCTTGGGTTGATATTTTCCTTGTGTCTTCGGTGTTTTTTATTCTCCTTTGCTCCAGGTGGGTTGGGACCAACTGATGCATTTTAGATGGCCGCTCACTAGCTTTTAAGACCCCAGACACCACTCATCAAAGTGGGATGTAGAACGTTTTCTTAATAAACTTTGTTATGCCAATTGACGTAGATGTCCCCTGAAACCATCGTCCTCAGGACCCACCCCCACCCCCACCCTCCACCCGCCTGTTACACTGTCCCTAGAAGTGTTCGGTTGTGTTCAGGAAACTTCGTAGCTTTTAGTTTAGTCCAGCTGTGCTGACTTCCCCTGTATTGTGTGTTGTCCTTCCCTTTACCTAAGATAATTCTTGTCTCCCTTCTCCCTCCCTCCCCACCCTCGTAACCATCAAAGAATGTTTTCTTCTGTGTTTAAACCTTTTCTGAGTTCTTATAATAGTGGTCTCATACAATATTTGTCCTTTAGTGACTGACTAATTTCACTCAGCATAATGCCTTCCAGATTGATCCATGTTATAAGATGTTTCGCGGATTCATTGTTGTTCTTTACCATTGCATAGTATTCCATTGTATGAATATACCATAATTTGTTTATCCATTCATCCATTGATGGGCCCTAGGTTGTTTCCATCTTTTTGCTGTTGTGAACAGTGCTGCAATGAACATGGGTGTGCATATACTATTTGTGTGATGGCTCTTATTTCTCTAGGATATATTCCAAGGAGTGGGATTGCTGGATCATACGGTACTTCTATTTCTAGCTTTTTAAGGAAGCGCCAAATCGATTACCAAAGTGGTTGTACTTTTTACATTCCCACCAACAGTGTATAAGTGTTCCAGTCTCTCCACAACCTCTCCAACATTTATTATTTTGTGTTTTTTGGATTAATGCTAGCC